GATAATGAAAAGAAGCAGGTAATAAGCTTAACAACTTATTCGATCCTTTTATGCTTGATCAATCAATTCGTTTGGGTATCACTTGAATGTTAAAATAGTAGATATCAACACATTAAAACGTATGGTTATTTTTCTACAGAGTCAGTTTAAAATTTAAACCTCCTACTAGTTTCATTTATCTATCTTCATTTCATAAATCATGCATTTTGCAAAATAAATGGATTTAGGTTTTTTTTTTCAGTTTCATCATTGGAAACGCTTCCTTTTATGCAACCACCATAGACGTTTTGAGTCTTCCATTTTATCTGTGATTTAAAGATTAATGCAAATCCCTATTAGCAATCTATAATCTTTCCCCTTCTATATTGTCTATCCTAGGAGAGTTTTTGGAGGGGTAGTTCCTTGCTTCCACAAGTTTAGGATGCTTGCCCAATAATGTAATTCTTGTACCTTTCAACTGGCATTGTCAGGCAGATGCAAGCCCTTGACTTCTTTATATTTGAGCACCTTCAGTTAACAACAGTTGTAAAATGTTGTCTGAAGTCTTGAACTCCATATTTGAGATCATTATTCTGGGATAAGGCTTAGGTGATGATGAACTGATGATTCATTCTATAGTTACTAGATTGATTTGTCCATACTCATTTTATTATTTGTACAGTGTATGTCATGATGAACTCCATAGATTTCTGTTTACACTTAAGTCTTTTGGTACACATGCAAATCCTATCTCAATGTCTTCATGTTAGCAGTTGGTTGTAAAATGTCTCTGGAGTCTTGAACTCATAATCAAGCTTGTTTTGATGAGATTAGGCTTAGTTTATGATACTTCATTTGATAGTTACTAGATCATGGATTTTAAATATTTACTAGTATTGTCCCATGCAAAGCACAGACTATTGTTTAACTTTGTTGTCCAACATACAATCATGTCACTCTTATTTGTGGTCCACAACTTTAAGATTATAGCGTTATATACCTACAAATAGGCCAAATGATAAAGATTGTTTGAAAAAACTTATCCAATAGTAAAGATTCCTTACCAAATAAGATCATAGTGTTATACACCTACAAATAGACCAAATAATAAAGATTGTTTGAAAAAACTTATCCAATAATAAAGATTCCTTACCAAATAATAAAGATCCACTTACTTAAACCACCAAAACATTAATCCCGTTCTTACTAATAAGAAATTGAATAGATAGGTCATAACCTAAAGCGGTCAATGTTTGGTATTAGTTTCTTTGTTAACTTTAAAATTCTAATTTAATTGTAGATAAATTTGTCTTGAAAACTTCCAACAGTACTCAAACTCATTGAATTAGAAATTTGCTCACAAATGCAAACCATAGTAAACAAATTTACACTTTTAAAACCTCTCGGAGGATTAATCCCAACAATGTACTAACGTCTTCACTCTTCATAACAAACAAATACCATCTCGAAAGATTAATCTCGAACATCGTTAAAATAAACTTTTCACAAAATGCGTAAACGTTCGAACTTAAAGCACACCAAACCCAAATCATGATAATAATACTACTAAAGTTCCCTTCATCAGCTAAAATCTTTAGCAAATTATAAACCTAGAATTCAACCAACATATTACCTAAATAGAAGCATTCACATTTTAATGATTTGAGAATCCGGAGATGGAAACTCCAGCTTGTTCTACTCCTTCGTACATATGTGACGCTATAGAATTCACAAATTGCTAGGAACTATTCTTCCTCCTATAAAATTCCAAAAACAAATTTAAACAATTCAATAAAGAAAAAAGAAGTAAATTAACCTTGATATGTTATTAATTTACTTGAGCAAGGAAATCAAATAATCAATGATCAACATCCCAAGCTAACTATGATGCAAAATCAGCATGAAGATAAAACACATTGCGAAATGGGTCCACACAAAACATCTTAGGATCAAATCCCTGCATTCCTAAAAAAGAAACAAAAACTTAAAATTAAATAAAAACTTATGTTATATTTTAAGAAACACAATTTTTCCAAAGAGATATCCTAAAAAAGCAATGCCAAACTTGATGAGCATGGATATATAAGAGAAAGTCCCATGATTTTGATTTTCTATGTTTAAATGTATGTTTCTCATTAAAAATATATGATAACTTTCCATAAGGTTTAAATGGTTGTCTATTTGCAGTGACATGATCCAAATCCGATCTTTTGAGTGTAGCATATACGCTTTAAGACTTGATAATGAAACCACAAATTTGACTAATGTTTCTGACAGAATAGTTAGAGGAATTTCATATAAGAAAGAAATATGTACTGAATGATAAACAAATATGATAATATATTTTGCATAGAAATCATGCCTAAATAGTTAAAAAAGAAAATGACGCATAGACTACTAAATGTCTCAATCACTACACCAAAATTCGGAAGTTATGGCTATGGTTGAAAGTTATATTTCAATATAGACGAAAGAGCTATCTACCATAAATTTTAACAAAGAAGAACATATCGTATTTGCTTTACTTTTCTCTAATGGCCATATTTGGTAAGGAACCATATAAAACAAAGTAATATTGATACACATAAACAATGTTACATTAAACGCTGGGCGCTTCTAGACGTCGGACTTGGCGCCTAGCGCTTAGTCGCCTAGGCGGGGGCGTCTAAGCGGTTTTTGGACGTTTTTTTTTCATTTAAGTGATGGTCGATGAGGTTTTGCTGAAGGTCGGAGGAGGTAGTGGAGATGTTCATATTTGGAGGTTAATGAAGTTTGGAGGACGTGTAGGCTACGACACATAAAATCACAATCAAGGTTCATATTTGGAGGTTAATGAAGTTTGGAGGACGTGTAGGCTACGACACATAAAATCACAATCAAGGCCTACAGGGTGCAATCCGTGTAGGCTACGACACATAAAATCACAATCAAGGCCTACAGGGTGCAATCTACGTAAGCAGACAATGCTTTCCTAAACGCTCATAAAATCTAGGTGGGCAGCCTAAATACCGCCTACACGCTAGGCGCTAGTTAGGCGACCTAGGTACCGCCTAGGTCTAGGCGTACGCCTAAGCGGACTAGGCGGAGGTTTTTTAAAACAGTGCACATAAAAGAGAACTGCATTTTAACAAGATTTCTAAAATAATTGATATATATTAAAAAGCTAATGCACTTTATCTATAGTTCGTTCCACATTGTATTAAAATTGTAGATCTCCAAAATTACAACCTTAAAAGGATAGACTATAACCAATCTTCAAGATAACTATGTCTATACATCGGAAAAAATACATGCATATTCTCTAATCTTATTTTAGTATGGAGGATAAATCCATCTATGAGTGGATAAGAGCAACGTTTTGTTCCTCAAGACTATTATACGATGTACTACTTCAAGAGTAATCACTGAAATTTCAAAAGTTGATTTAATTCATGCACTAGAGATAGACATTTTGTTATGATTTCGAACGAATATGTCACAATGTGAAGTTTTATTTATTTAGAGAATGTTACTATGATGATACTTTCTTTATGTTATGAACAAGGTTGTGGAAAGTGGAAAGCAAAGCGAAGCTGTAAGACAACCCTTAGGATTTTTAAGCTTTCAGAGGCAAAAAGTGCCAAGTAAAAAACATCCAATTTAATATATATATATATATATATAGAGGAGGTGGAGGAGCTTTGACTAAGGATGGTGATGGTGAGGTTCGACTGGAGATAGTGATGTTAACTTCAATGAGTAGCTCAAGAGAAGGTGATGATATGCTGGTTATAGTGAACACAACGCTTGCTGGAGAAGGATTTAGAGATGGATTTAGATGCGATTTAGTGGTGGGAGGCGTCAGAGTTGGCCAAAGGCAGTGGACGACATCAGTGGCGGACCTGTTCTTGTTCAAAGTGGTTTATTTGAACCACCTCAGATTTTGAAATAGTATATATATCATATATGTTAGTTTGTGAACAAATGTAATTTGTAGCCTAGTGGTATAAGCATTAGCTTACCTTCAAAGAGGTCAAAGGTTCAAAACCTCCTACAGCCTCTTTATGTTTCTAATTTCTCCTATAATCCTTATTTTCTCTTTACATTTCTACTTTCTCCTATTTTCTCTTTATTATTATTTGTTTATTATTTTTATGCTTTCCTTAGTAGTATTTGAAAAAAAAATTAGCGTTAATTTCGAACCACCACACGAGAGGTTGTGGATCCGCCACTGGACGACATGGTTGAAGCAGAAGTTAGGTTTAGAGTTTATTTTTATCTTGAGTTGCAGAAGCTGAGAGGTGAGAGAGAGAAGCAAATGGTTTTACTTAAATAAATGGGTTACGTTTAGGTTTGGGTTGACTATAGTATAAACCCATATTTATTTTTAGAGCGTTGTTAAGTGTTGATGTGATTTTCAGTGCTTAACAACTCTTTTACTAGCTTACTTGCTGCGTTTTCAAGTAGAAACATCAAATTCACTTTCATTGGCCGCTTTTGACAAAAGCGGAGCAGTGTGGTATTGTTTACGCCTTGCAAACTGTTTAAGCAGTCATAAGTGGGGCTTTTTTCAACACTAGTTATAAATTCAGTTCAACATATTTTGATGACTTTTAATTGCAAAAAATAATCACAATTGCTATGTTTTAATGATGGGGTTTGGAGGAATTTCTGATTTATATACAAGAAGTTTGATTTTGATTATTGAATTAAAAGCAATCACAAAAGCTAAAACAAAAACAACCAATCTAAATAAAAAGCCTATTTATTCTCTCCAAAATATCTTCTTGCCATTATTCACGGTGAGAATCGAGTAATTCGTAGTACCTTCTTTAAACTATTATTATCATTTATTCATACGACTCGTGACAAAATATTTCAGTTAGAGGTAATTCAGAAAATGATTTACCTGTATGATATATATATATATATGTTGAAAATAGCGATAACGCATAGCGTAACGTTTACCTCCGGTTAAGTTACAATAGCAATAACGCATAGCGTAACGTGAGTTAAATAATTTATTATTATTTAAAATACTTTATTTTAGATCAATATTAAATTAAATACCTACTATATTTTTTATGCAGATTTTCATGCAAGACATACATACATCCAATTTGCAAATGCCCAAGTCAAATAATTTGCAAGTTGAACCTACCGAATAAAACTTTACTGCGTTTAAAAAACTTAGGCCTTAGTGCAACAAAACAGAGATTATGAAAAAGTCCTTAGTAAAAAAGTCCTTAGTGCAACAAAACAGAGATTAATGCTTTGTCACTGGTGGTAGACAAACTTTGAATATAGTAACAAAAGAACGCAAAAGTCTGCAAGTCAAGCTTTGTCATTGTCACTAGTGGCAGACAAGCTGTCTCTCACCCACGTGTTTGCAAGCTGTCTCTCACTCAAGTGTGTAATTTCAATGCCCAACTCACATTTGCAAGCTGTCAGCAACTTATTAAAAGTCAAATAGAGATCAAATACCAAAAAGCACAGGTTCTCTCTCCTCCCGAGGCGCTTTCAGTCTTCATCTTCATCTCTCCCACAAGACCTTCACCTGTTCTCTCTCCTCACGAGGCGCTTTCAATCTTCATCTTCATCTCTCCCATAAGACCTTCACCCGTGACCAGAGCCAACTCCTCCTCCTTCGCCTCCCTCCAAAAGACCATTTTTGCCCTAGCCCTAGCTCTCACGACGACGGAAAATGGTCTAACTGGAGACGAATACGAGGACGTGAAGACGAGGACGGGAGAAGAAGCTTACGAAGAGAAGGTAAAATAAATAC